ATATATTATTATTTTTTTAATAAATTGGACACCAGCTGGTTATTACATATTATATATCAATGAATTAATTTTTGAACAAGTATTATAAGTTGGCTATTTTCATAAAATGTGAATTTTTACGTTTTCATTATGATTTTCAAGTTTAACCCTTGTAATATTTTTATTGATCTCATTTAGTTTTTAATCCATTTACTTCAAAATTTTTAGTTTTTAATTAAAAAAAAAATCAAAGTTGAAAACAGAATAAACCAAAACATTCACAAATCCTCATCGTCTTCTTCCACGGCAACCCCGCATCGTCTTCTCCTTTGCCGCCATAAGCATCGGGCATATGCCTCATGGCATGAAGATGAACGCAGCGAGCATGATGAGAAGCAAATCAAAGGAGAACGTGAGTGGTTGATGGATTAGATACCATGAATAAATTTATGTTGTAATATTTTCAAGAAAGTAGTTGAATTGAAAAATAAGACGTAGGCATGGGTGGTATAATTACAAAAAGAATTGAATTTGCACTTTATTCTTTTTTATTATGAGTAGTTGATAAGTTAAAGCACTATGAACAAATATGTATTGCAATATTTTTAAGAATAGTAGTAAAATTTTAAGTGGTTAACTTGTTAGGGCAAAAGAAGAATCGGTATGCTGTATAAGAGGTGTACATCTATCTCATTCATTGAAGGTATAAATGCCTCTTTTTCATTCATTTGAACCATCTATATAATACAAATATAAAAACCCTATTAGGGTTTTCTCTCAAATCCTTTCATTCTCTCTCGATCTCCCTGTGTCTTTTCTTCATTTTTTCTGCAGATCGGGTAGATCAATCGCTTCACAGAATATTCTTACACGTAATGATCTTATGATAACCGTGTTTAATGAAAAATATTCTATTTCCAAACCACACCTCTTTAATAACACACATAATTATAGTTACTAAAACGGTAGAATGAAAATCTTCATTCGAACTGCTGACTTTTGATATGTAGAAAATAATTGTAAATGATTTTCATATCGCATATAAAGAAGATGACCCTGTAGAAGTCAAGAATAAGAATGATGAAAAATTAGTTCAAATAAATGCTCAAACTAGAGATGTTTTATATTCCAATGAAATGGAAGACTAGAAATAGAAGTAAACCTTCCCTCATGCAAAAGATTCTTCCTATCGATTAATATCTCATTTTCCACGGCTTAATCAATTAGTAAATCAATACAGAAAAGAAAATAGAAACAAAGTAATAAATAATCAGTCCATTAATCAAACATTCAAATTCAGGATTAAGAGTGGCTGTTCGATACAGTAGTATCCCCTAGTTTACTCCAATTTACTATCTCAAAAAAACTCTTTAAGATTCTAGCTTCATAAATATTCTATCCTATTTTGTTCTCTTTTTACTTTTTAACATAAAATTCCAAATTCTTCAGTAGAATGCAGGTAACAAAGAAAGACAAATCTGTCAATGGTTTGATAATGCGAATCATAAACACTTTTACGCATTAAAATGGCCGTTAAGAAGCAGCAGAAAATGGAGGCCGTAACTCAAGCTGTAATTTCAGTTAACTGAAATTTGAATTTGACAACAGCAAAAAATAAGAACAAATGATAAACAAGTATTTATTACATTCATATTCGCAGATGCACAGAGCGATGAGAATCAGACTGTATTGACAGTGTCTGCAAGGGATCGAAGTATACATCCTAACCCTGCTCTCTCAGTCAGCTTTTCATGAATCCGTAGACACTGGTCACATGTGGGGCGGTCACCAGTAGACAAGCCTCTATACAAATACCTGATTCATTGGATAATACCAATCTGTTATGCTATGCACACATTATTTACATTATCTACCACAGGATACTGAACTACTTATGATTTCTTTTATCATCTTCTAAACTTTAAAGAAAATACAAAAAGTTAAAATGGAAGTTGTAGAGGTTTTATACAGTGCCATTGTCCAATATTGCATAGTTCAGATGTGCATTATAAAGAAATACACCCAAATGAGAGGATAAGGTTCCTAATGTCGTTTCAGGTCTGGTACTTAAAACTTGTCAAGGCATCAGAAAGTGAAAAGGAACCACATCTTGAAAGTCTCATGCAGTTCAACTAATCATTTTTTTTTTTGGATTAGAAGGTTGACTGATCATTTTTTTCACAAATAAGCTAAGTGCACGAGTACATCTAGTGCAGTAGAAGTGTTTTCCTTCCATTGGGTGGAGAAAGGGATGGGGGAGCTGATTGTAACCAGATAGCTCTTGATCTCTATATGAGATGAGACACAGTGATGTGCGCCACTGAACCAAAGCCCAGGGTGGGATGGATTACATAATTGTAAGTTTGATGAAGCTCAACATTTGTCAAGTAATTTTGTATCAGTTGCATCTAAAGCTTTCTATAGGTGCAGTAGCAGCTTCCTAAAGGAGAGAGTTGATGGAAAAATGAGATTCCAATGTCCATTTCAATGAATCCAAAAGAAAGTTTTCTTGTCTTCTTTTTTTCTTTCCATAGTTTCAGGGAAGATTAGAAAAGGCAACTGCCTTATATGAAGGGACTCATTTTGCTAACTTTGACTCATGCACTGGCTAGAAATCAATATCTAGACAGATTAAAACCATGTAGGCAAATCTTATTTGCAATGCAGCAATGGATTGGCTCAAAAAGAAAATGAAAAAGAGGATAAGGAAGTATCTTCAATTGTTATATATGTAGTTCCGGAAACTTGGGAAACACGACTAACATGCTACATTTGGAAATATAGACGTGTTCAAACGAAAACGAAATAAGAGCAGCAAGAGACACTTTTTCTCAACGGGACAGATCTTCTTCTCTTCCTCCCCATGTTATTTCCAGTCCTACACTACAGCAGCACCATTAGTATACCAAGCTATTACAACTAAAACATGAGATTAATTTGGAGGTGGAAACTGCAGTATGGTGAAGATGCATAAAAAGAATCCAAAAATAATGCTTTTCTTTACTCTCTAAGCTTCTCAGTTTTTGCAAACTCAAGTAAGCTTCATTTAATCCTTTTCCTCCTCAATTTAAAGCCATATTCTCCGAGAGTAGCCAATTCCTATACATACCAAATAACACTTTAATTTCTTTGATACCATATAAAGCATCCACATCTCACATGTTCTTGGCTTATGTTCGGTTCAAATGTTAGTTTTGTTAAATACGAATAAGAATGTCATAGAAATGGGATAAAGATGTAACTGATCAGAAGTCAATTTATATCTAATTCTAAGTTACTATTTCTGTAATCCCTCCTCACAAACAGGAACGTAGACCCATCATTTTATAATTAAAGATATAAACTTACTTGATTCAATAATTTATCAAATGTACAAATTCTAATTACGCTCTACATATTAAGTACCTAAAATCTATAAGAATAAGATAAGAGAAAGTACGCTTAAATCAAAATGAAACATTAGAATTATAAACTGGGATTCTCAGGTTCATAAAAGAACCCACTGCATAAAAAGGACACGAAATAGAACAAGCAAGAAATAAGATTGAATTGCCATTGCAAGCAAATTTGAGATCATAATTGAAACAAATAAAGTACTTTGAGAGAATTAATCTTGAAATTCACACTTATTTTAACTGAAAAATTGACAAAAATCTAACATAGAATATTTCCGGTAGAATTTAAATAACTGTGTGCTTTATATATTTTAATAAAATGGCGATATTTTCGTACTTTTGAGTGAGATTTTCATCATCTCTTGACTAAATTTAGTGTGAAATTCAAAATAAATGTCAAAAAAGAAGTTCAGCAAGTCAAATTGGAAATAAAAAATAATTGAAACGCCACTTACTATAACAAGCACAAAATAAGAAGTGCCTACGAAAAATCTTACTTCATAAGGATATCGTAGTACTCAGGATCCAGAGAATTTAACATCCCATCCACATCCTTTATCGCCATGATCGCCCTATGCACCACTATCCAATTCGCGGACTGCAGGGAAAAAATTCCTAACATAATTAAATAACAGACGGAAGAGTAAACCGGAACAACCTAGGATGCACATAAAAGAAAATTACAGGAGCTGTTTTTCTCCGGAACCAAGAAGGATTAGGCGAAGAAAAGTAAGTACCTTGCAACGCTCATCTCGGGTCTTCGGGGGAGAGCCTTCTAGAGCGGTTTTGAGCGCTTCAAGCGGTTTAGACCTGAACACGTTAAATTAAATTGAGAATGTTAGGGTGTTTTAGGGAAGAAAACCGTGTTGATTGGATTGATTAGTTGTAGTACTGTTTGAGTAAGCTTTCGATCTTTCTGGATTTGTGCTCGATTCTCGCGATTATGGCCTCTACATTGTCTGCTTCAAGAAATCCCTCCGCCCCCGCCATTTTCAGGAGTGAAGGCCTCAGTTTGGTTTTTATGTGAAAAGCTATGCTCGGTGCGGTTAGAGATAAAACGATATCGTTTTTTTCCATAAACCAAATACCAGGGACTATAATTGCTTACTCAGATAAAGTCAAGGGTAATTCCGTCAATTTATTTGTATAATCATGGCGACAGCCTTTTGAATTCTTCTCTCTCCCTCTCTCTCTCTCTCTCTCTCACTCTCTCTCCTTTTCCTTGGCTTCAAAGTCTTCCTTGCTTTAATCAATTACCTTCTCCTCTCTCCCCATTTTCACACAGAAGGATGCAAGGAAGAAAAGAAGCTTCGTTTGGTTCGTCAATGGCAGCTCCAGATCCACACATTAAACACCATTTCCCATCGAATGTCGCCAGAGGACCAGGCACCAGGTCCTACACTCACTTCTTTTGTAAGTCTCTCTTCGTTGTTCTCTTTCTCATTGCTCTTCCTCTCTTTCCTTCTCAACCTCCAGATTTCGTCACACAAACCATATTCACCAAGTTCTGGGAGCTTATTCATCTTCTTTTCGTTGGCATTGCTGTGTCTTATGGCTTGTTTAGTCGAAGAAATGTCGATGTAAACATTGATTTTCACCACACTACTCTTGATGATTCACACTCATACGTATCTAGCATGTTTCATGTTTCTTCCGTCTTTGATAATGGATATGAAAATTCGTGTGGATTTTATGATAAAAATGCCTACCAAAGTTTGAATTCTCGGAATCGTAAAGCTCAATCTGAGTTTGAGGAAGGTAAGGGGATTTCTGCGGTTCACCAACAGAATCAACCTGTTGTTTTTAATGTTGAAAATTGCATGTCTAGCTCTCATGAAAATAATCTAGTTCAAGCTTGGAATTCCCAGTATTTTCAGGGTGAATCTATGGTTGTACTGGCTCAATCAAACTATGATCTTGGTGAATTTATTGATTATAAACCCTTAGGGTTACCAGTTAGGAGTTTAAGATCAAAAGCGAGAAACCCTGGCACTTCTGAGTCTAGTAATGGTAGTGAGTCTGGTTCAAGTGACAAGGCTTCGTCTAACTTCTCTGTAAACGGGAGATCTGGAGATTTGGGGGTTTCAGATGTGAATAAGTTAAATGAAAATCTGGTTTCACCTTCCCCAATGCCTTGGCGTCCGAGAACTGGAAGGATGGAAATGAGAGACAATGTGGAACCGGGAAGTGCTACTCATCCTTCCCACTATACGCCTCCCCCTCTCTCTATCAATCAAACTGTTCAATTTGATTCTGTCAAATCAACGACTATGCGGTCTAGTGATGTATCTTCCTCATACAAAACTAGTTCTAGGTTGCATACACCGAGTGATCTATCTCCCTCACATTCTATTTCTTCAGACTCAGCGAACTCAAATATGGGAGAATTGGGGAAAGATAAGAGTTTCAGCAGGTCTTATCCTCATACTTCACCATCCCAGTCACCGCCAATGCCAGTGAATGGTTCGAGTTCTTCACATGCCCAGCACCACAGTTATAGCTCTTTTTTACAGGAGGGTGAGAGCAGCAGCTTTGAAGATGATTTAAATAATTTGAGTGGAAGCAGAATAAATAATTCACTTGGCAGGGAAGACTGGGGATCAACATCTTTAAAATTCAGAGGCGAAGAGTTTCGGAAAGACAACAGTTACCGGAGGTCTTACCTTTCTGCTTCACCATCACCACCACCAACAAAAGATAAATCTTCAGTGGATGGATTGCATTCTCGGCATTATAGTTATAGTCATGGCTCTTTCTCAGAGGATGATGTGAGAAGAAGCTTCGAAGATGACATGGAGGATATGAGTGGAAGCAGAAGAAAGCATTCGCTTGGTAGGAGAGAGTACAGGGTGTCGAGTTCTTTAAGGGTGGGAGAGGGAGATGAACTCAAACAAATAAATAATATAACTTCAAATGTGTTACATTCCCGGCACTACAGTCATGGTTCCTTGCTAGAAAGAGATGTTAAAAAGAAGAAGGAGGATCATTTGGAGGAACTGTGTGGGAGTGGAACAAAAGATTTACGAGGTAGCAAAGAGCGAGGAACAAGTTCTCTGAAATGGGTGTCAAGACCTGCTACCATTGCTAGATCTTCATCAAGGGGAAAATCAGTCCGGACTATCAGAGGTAGCCGGTGCAACAAAGGGGCAACCGATGACGGAGAGATGGGGGAGAGGCACATTGATGAAAGTCTACAAAGGAGTTATGAAGCAGGATATACGAGAAAGAGTCATTTTACAGCAGGAGTTCATAATTTGAAGAAAGAAACCAGTAAACAGAATCTTGATCATAGCTATCATGTTCGAAAGTCAGGGCCCTTGCGGAAACAGGATAGGGGAAAACAAAAATGTTGTGATGATTGTGTCGTAGATTCGAGAGAAAACTCAGAAAGAGAGGATGAGAATTTTCAAGTGACCTCAGAGGAAGAAATGCTTGTGGATATGTATAGTGATGCAGGCCATGATTCCAACGAGGTTGATAAGAAGGCTGGTGAGTTTATAGCCAAGTTTAAGGAACAGATTAGACTTCAGAAAATGGCAACCAACACGGAGAGTGTTTATTCCCAGTGATAACAATTTTAGGTGAAAATCAACTTGGATTTCCAACTGCTTTGTAGATTTCTAACAACTGAAAATCATAGTATTCAGTTTTTTATATGTCATTTCTTGTCTGTAAATACAATTTATAGTTTCAGCATAAGCTTGGAAGCTTTCTAATCTTCATGGAAGTTGAAAGCAAAGTTATAGTTGTTGGTTTACCAAGCCGGCTTTGTTAGCGGGAAGCTGTGAATCGAAGTACAGAACAAACTGTTGTTTTACCTTTTATAGGCTGGTTTTAGTTGTCCTTAAAATTTTGTCAAGTGTCAGTATGACTCTCCATTATTAGAATCTGTGTACATATATTATTCAACCGTGTATGCAGTTTCTGCAAATTATTGAATAAAATGATATATGAAGAAACTGTATGTTGCATACGTCCATTGATTACTACTATTTAGTAAATGTTGTCCAGTTCCTGATGTAGTAACAAAGGAAACAGTAAGAGTTTGTTGTATTTTCTCCGCCACAACCAACTTTGTCTATCCATCTCCAATCCTTAGAAGAGGAACGCTGAAATCAATAATTTCATGCAAATACATCTTGAATTTATCAGGAAAATACAACAAATAGCAGCAGCTACACAAATCCAAACCCATTTGCTCCAAATCGGAACGAGAAGCCTATGATTTCAAATGGTGAAGCTTTTTACAGTTTTTAGGAAATCTAGTTTGTGCTGGTAAATTAGAGTTTAGATGTGAAAAATCATCAACTTGCAAAGAAATATAAATAAAAATCCATAAGTGTTGGGATTTTTTTAAGTTTTTATTGAGTAACTGAGAAAAAAATCTTTGTGTCAAAAAAGAATTTAAAAGATGAGTTATGTGTTAAGAGATTGAAATATGAGTTAAAAAGAGACTAAGAATAAGGAAGCGATTGAAATATGAAATTTCGGGCAGTGTCTTAAATTTTTTTTTTTTTTAAAAAATAATGAAATGGATGATCGTAATAATTTCAGGTGATTAAGTTTTTTTTTTCTAAAAAGTTGTTTTTAGTGTTAATATCTTTGGAACTATTTTATAAATAAAAAATTAAAATAATAATTTATTTTAGTTTTCAAATAAAATAATTTTTCATTTATTATTTTTTAAATTGATAAAATAAACTGTAGCCAGTTGCATCAAAGTTGATTTTATAATACTTGTAGTGATATTTTATTAAAAAAAAAAACTAAATGAGAATTAAATCACCCAAGCTCCAACTCTACTCGTTTAATTTCCAAAATGCCCCTCAAAAATTTGTTAATTGAAAAAAAATGCCCCCGCTGAGGATAAGATGATTTTTCTTAAGTTTTAACGGGAAGCAGATTCCAAACAAGCCATGCTCATGATTTTCTCCACATCTGCTCTCCCTTCTCCATATTTTCCCTGTAAGTAACTCTTCTTCTTCAAATTTCAAATAACATTTTCTATCTCCAGTTGAACTCTTGCTTTTTGCAATGGAATCGGATTCTCATAAACTCTTCCTTTCCACAATGGAAAAGATGATAAATGCTTTTGAGAAAAAAGAAATTACGTCAAATTTAGTTAAATTTTCAAGGAATCTAGTTTGATTGAGCAGAATGTATACCTTTTTTCAAAGTGCTCACAGCTTGGTGGCGTAATGAATTTTCTTTACTCCTTTTCTTTATTACTTTTTACCTTAATATATTATTAATGATAATATTCCCTTCCTGTGCTTTTGCGAGTTTCCTTTTTAGTAGAATTTTTTTTCAATTTTTTATCTCCGTATTTATTGGTTACTATGTTCATGCGGGCAACATGCTTTCTAGCAGGTAGAGCCCTTCCAACACCTACCAGTTTAGGAGCTTTATGTGCTCAAAAGATGCAAATGGTTTGTAATTGTAGCTGCCCAAATCATGACTTGAAATATGACAGGTAAGACTTTTAGGTTCTGTTTAGTACATAAAAATGTTTTCTAGTTTTAATTTGTATCTCATTGATGAAACCATATAAGTTAGAACAATAATGAAAATGACAATGGAGAATGTTAATGAAAATCATCATGGAGTTTGAGATTTTAAAATATTTTTTTAGTGTCTTTTGGAAAAGTTATTTCGTTCTTGATTATTTCACGAAATTTTGCAACTCATATATTTAGAATAAACATATACATATTTAGAGAATGATAACTTAAAAAAAATTGTATACCAAATGAAGCCCTTATATTTTCTACTAGTCTTCGTGCATTTTTTAGGTTTATTAAATTTCTTAAAATGAATCCATGTTGCAGTTCGAGGTTACGAAATGGATATATATTGCATTGTGGTGAGAACTTAAGGCGGAGGTTCTTTCTCTCCTTTTTGGTTTCATCAAGCTTGTTTCCAACTTTATTTTCTTCTGCAAAGACAAAGAGTAAAAACCCCTATGATGAAAGACGGCTGCTAGAACAGAATAGACGAATTCAGAAGGAGAACAATGCTCCTGACGACTTTCCAAATTTTGTTAGAGAAGGTTTGTGTCATCAATTGATATGGTATGGTGTTATCCATTTTCAAATTTTCCCTTCTGCTCCTTAGAACACAATAAGTCATGTATTAACATATTATAACAACTCTGTACAACCATCACTGTTTCTGAAAGTATGATTCAGGTTTTGAAGTGAAGGTAGTAACATCAGAAAATTATATAAAGCGTGATTCTGGGCTTATTTATTGGGATATAGAAGTTGGCGATGGTGATTGCCCAAAAGATGGTCAGCAGGTCTTTTCTTTCACTCTTTCCAATTAATATTTTGCATCAGTGAAAGCAACATTTAAACTTTCTGAAAGACTACCTCCAATTTTCCCACAACCTTTGTTCATATACAAGGTAAATCTTCACCATTAATTATCAACCTCATGGGCATCTATATTTCGGTTCATGCAGCCTTCTTGCGTATTTAGCATAAAGAACCAGATCAGGAGTAATTTTGCCTCTTACATAACACAATAGATGTGAGGCAATGTGTACTTGTTGAGTACTAGTAATTTGCCTTAATTTTGTTTTACCACTGCCTATCCAGCATCATATGCCATTATACCTGTTTCTGGTACTCTATTTTGTTCTACTAAGTTATTGAAAGAATTTTCCCAGCCCATACATGAATTGAATTCAGATTTTTATGCAAGAGATGACAGGGAAGAAATACAATTAATTAAGGATGACAGTTTTGCTTTACAACTCTTCTTGTGATGTATAGTGAACCTTTCTGATCAAGTTATGAGTGCATTTCTGGAACAAAAATCTTGCAGGTTACTTTCCACTATGTGGGATATAATGAGTCAGGCCGGCGCATTGACAGCACCTACTTACAGGGATCTCCTGCCAAAATCCGCATGGGTACTAATGCATTAGTTCCAGGTAAAGAGATCTTATAGGAATTTAATGTGTCTATTATTATAAGCTTCCTGCTCTATATTTTCCCACTATCCACTGCCATTTTCTTTATGAAATGAAGTTTAGATTTGCTGAAGTTGAAAACTTTTGACAGGATTTGAAGAAGGAATACAAGACATGAGACCCGGTGGGAAAAGAAGAATAATCATTCCTCCTGAGCTGGGACCACCTGTCAGTTCTCTTTCCTCAAGTTTGTTTTTTTTTTGGTACCTTAGCAACATTTCTCTTTTTTAAAATGAGCTAACATAGAAAAAAAAAAAGCTCTATTTAATACATGAAAGATGTTTCTATTTTTTATTTTCTAAAATCTTAGTTTAGTATCTTTCTAAAGGGGGGAGACTTACCTTAATCAAGAGTATGTTAGCTAACCTCCCAATCTACTATCTTTCTATATTAACTATTCTAGTTAGCATTGTTTTAAAGCTTGAAAGGATCCAATGTAGATTTCTCTGGGGTGATGATGATGGTTGTAGAAAATATCATTTGGTAAGGTGGGAGGAGGTGAAGAAATGTATGGATAGGGGCAGGCTGGAACTTAGATCCATTGCGGATTTGAATGTTTCACTTCATGGGAAATGACTATGGAGGTATTGTAATGAGGATGAAAAACTTTGGAGGAAGGTGGTGGAGGAGAGATGGGGGGAGAAGAGGGAAATACAAACCGCATGGAATGAGTTTATGGAAGAGAATCAGTGGGGAAGGCTGTAGATTTCGGGAATGTATGGGATTGAAGGTGGGGAATGGAGAAAGGGTGAGTTTCTGGCTAGATGAATGGGTGGGGGCTTTTAAACTGAAAGACAGATTCCCTAATATCTACAATATTGCTTGTGAGAGGGATATTACTGTGGATAAAATGTATGAGAATGGTGGTGGGGGGAGGGGTGGAGTGTACAAGTTAGAAGGAACTTGCAGGACTGGGAAATTGATGAATATTGCAATTTACTCAATGTGTTGGCAGAAATTAATATGGATAATTGAAAGGATAGGAGGATATGGAAGTTTGATGAGAAGAATGGGTTTTCGGTGAAGTCCTATTACAATTTTATATCCAAATGGGACAATGGGAATAATGTGACAGCTCCATTTAGACAAATCTGGAAAATTACAGCTCCCCCTAGAATGACTTTCTTTGCTTGAGAAGTCTCAAGAGAAAGTATTTTGACTATTGATATGTTAAAGAGATGGGACAACATTCTTGTTAATCGATGTTACTTATGCAAGACTGATGAGGAAACATGTGACTACATCTTATTATTTTGCCCGGTTACTCACAGCTTATGGATGTCGGTATTCGGGATGATGGGGTGAGATGGGTTATGACAGGTAATGTAAGTAAAGAATTGTGGGCTTGAGCAGGTTTTTGTAAAAATAAAAAACATTTATTTTTTATTTCACTTATCATTTTTTGGGTTGTGTGGAAGTAAATGAATGTTAGAGTTTTTGAGCGAATTGAAATGGATTTTGTAAACATAAAAAATAGATGGTTTCATACTTTTACTTCCATTTTATTAGGTCATGACATATTAGATTGGGAAGATTTTGGGTGCGTTATTGATCACCTAATTGATATGTAACTTCTATGTAATCGGATGGTACTTTCTTATTATTTTTGTGAATAATAACACTTTCGCCTTTTATTTAAAAAAAAAAAAAAGAAAATCTTGGTTTGATATAGTGTACCTGTGACTTGTTTTTGTTATTTTCAGTTTGTTTTGTTAATAAGCTAAGGTAACATTGATACTATAGAGACGGGGATGATGAGGATTTGAAAATTTCTTACATGTGGAAGGCTAAATTTAAACCTTGTAAGATCTAAAAGATAAAAAATAAAAAATTTGAAATCTCAAATCAGAATTTACCAAATTTTAACTTGTCTCACTAATTATAATTTTGTACATAGATAAAATAAATATGTAAAAAATAAACAAAACATTATGTAACATAATTAAAACAGTGTGGTAGTAATGCGATAAAAAGTATAAGAATTGATAATAAGAACAAAAATGATATCTATTAGTAGTTAAAAAATAAAAAATACATTTGAAATTTACTCAGAAACTGCATTAGCATTCATTAACATACCCTTCACCCAATTATTTCCTTTGCCTGGATGGTTAGTATTTCACTCTTCTTTACGAGAATGTGAGTATAAATGATATTTAACTTGTAGTTTTATGTCCCCTTTGTGTTGGTGTTAGGAGGTTAATTATGTTATTATTTATGTATGTATATTAGAATTTATGAATTTCACTTTAAAAAAAAATGCATCTGACTTACACTGACTACAACAAAGATATCTGGCATCATCAACATTAAAGATTAACTTATCCTTGTCTAAGAAGCCTCTGCTCTTTAAGCACTCTCACCACTTGGTAAGAAACCAATTTGCATGGTGACATGATTTTAAACTCATTTCTGCAAGAAGACGGAATTGCTCACATCACTTGCTGATGCCACCATAATGTTATAATTCACATCAGCCAAACCGGTTGTTGATCATATCAGGCCAACGCTTGATTAGATCCGTTCACCTATTTTTGTTCCTTTCTTTTTTCAGTTAACTTTGCTGTATCTAATTGTACAATCACTGTCTTTATATTCCATCTCTACAAACAGGTTCTTCACTTAGTTTTCTTTTCTTTTTTCATTATTTTCTTCATTGATTCGTACTGTCAAATTCTTGATGTATTTTTATCTCATTAATGTTGTTTTTATAGTTTGAATCATGATTTTTGTGTCCAAAAGATATTTAAATTTTAGTTTCTTTATTTTTAAAAAAAAGATATTTAGTTTCTTAAAAAGACACCTCTTCCAGCAATGGGAAAGTATCAAGATTCTTTGTGATTTGTTTTATGCACGAACTTAAGTAATTGATTATGAGAAGACCTTTTACTATAGTGGCTCAAATCACTTTTGTTCAAGTCTTATTTCCATTGCTCCTATAAAAGGTTGGTAGTTATTTTAAATAGATGTTAAAAATCTCTTTCTCAATGATGACTTTTCTGAAGAAGTGTGCATGGAGGCTCCTTCTAGTTATAGTCATCCTCCTAATAAGGTATCATTTTCGCAAGATTTTATAGACTCAAACAAGCACCTCAAGTTTAGTTTTCCAAATTTAGCTCCATGTTACTTCAATTTGGACTTAAGTGTATTCCGTGTAATCATATGCTCTCTTCATTCACATGATCACTCAAGGATGTATTTTCTTCTACCATATGTCAATGACATGATTATTATGGGAAATAACTTTATTAGCATATAATATGATGATGGAGGATCCTGGTATTTTTACCTATTCTTTTGGTACATTGTGTCATTTGATCAACATGTCTCAAGCTAAGTATCCTCAAATTTTATTTCAAAAAAATGTGTCCTCAAATCTTATTTCTCTCCATTATGCTTGACTGATAATAAAAACTGTTAACGGAGCTCAGATTCTCATTTCTACTCCCTCAGCGATTGTTTGCTTCGTTGAACTAGTTGAGAGTCTTATCTTACTGTCACTCAACTTAACATTACAGTAGCTATTTTTATTAATGCGCCTTGCTATTTTGTCGTTGTCCCTTGCATTTTTTATCTTATGAAAAGTATTTTATTTCAGACTTCACTTTCCTCGCCCTCCATTCTTGAATTGAGAGCTTATTTTGATTTTGATTGAGCAAATAATCTGCAAATTAGCACTCCACTACTGGCTATTTTTCTTTCTTGATAAGTCACTTATTTCTTGAAGGAAGAGAGATATAGTCGCCTCCATATCAATACTGAAGCTGAGTATTATGCTCTTGCTGAAAGTCTAAGCTTCTATGGTTACATTGGTTACTTCAACATATGAGAGTCACAAATTCATCTGCTGCACCATATTGTCATGATAACCAATGTGTTATACAAACAGCACTCAAATGACGTATTTCATGAATATATATTAAAAATGAAATTGACTTTGTTTTTCATCATGTTGTTCAAGGGAAGATCAATATCATTTTTGTCTCCTCTCAGTATTAGACTGTAGATATTTTCATAAAGGCTCATCAATGTAGTGGATTTTCTGAACTTGGTTGTTGCAAACTTCAATTGATAGATCTTTTTTACCACCTTCATTTTGAGGAGTTGTTACAATAGAGGACACAAAATATATTGTTGACAGTATAAGTAATATATTAGCAACATAGGAAAGAATACTTTAGGAAAATTATTGTACGATGTTTTTTCATTTATAGTCATGGCTATCCTAGACAATAAAATCTTTATGTAAGACTGCTGCATAGAAATCACATAAGACAGTTCAGCCATAGCGGTGGTGGCCATGGTATTTAGGAATTCAGTACTTAACTATATAGGATTTAAATTATTTTTTTTGCTAGTCATGGTTAATTCTCCTATACTAATTAATAGTAGCAGTATTTGTTTTCTTATCGTATTGATATTTTTTAAAAGATCCTTGTAGTATTAGTATAATTATCTATGCTTCTGCAAAATCTTCAGCCATTCTTATTACGATTACAAAAGGTTATTTAGGACTTCATAAAATACCTTTGCCGTGTCATCTACGAGGTCATTGTCAGTTCATTGCAGATTACTTTTAGAATTTTCTCAATATCTTGGTTGTGTGATCTGATTTACTTAATTTGATGCTTTAGAATCTTAGATATGATATGTAGGTTACTCCAAATCCATTAGTAGGTGAATTAATCTGATTTTTTTTTTATATCAATTAGTATCTGAGTAAAAAATTATTTCTCGAGAGTTGTAGACAAGGCATGCTATGCTTGGAGTGAGCAGATTTTCCTTTGGTACCTTTTTTCAGCTTGATCACTTGGATAATTGGTGTTTTAACTGCAGGTAGGACCTTCCACATTTTTCAGCTCAAAACAGTTTGAAGTTTTTGATGTGGAATTGCTTAGCGTGCAGAACTGTCAAAGAAGAACAATAGCTTTTTATTCTGATGTTGTGTGTAATTGAAGAGCTAAAGCTACTCTTCTTGTGCTCAAAGAAGCACAATAGCTTTTTATTCTGATATTGTGTGTAATTAAAGAGATAAAGCTACTCTTCTTGTGCTTCGAAATGGATCATGGTGTTAATGCCTTACATGAAGAGAACATGAGTTTTGTAGTTTGTGCTACTTGTCAAGTCACCATGAAACATGGTTGAAGATTCTTGTTTTAATGGAAAATAGTTACAAAATTCGCTATCTCTGGACAAACTTTGGTTGAATTACTATCTTAATTCCTTGCAAAAGATAGATTGAACCACCTGAGGTGGTGGCTCAGTGGTAGGAAGCTTTAAGATTTAGGACCTGGTGTATCCTATATCCTTAATTTAAATCATAGCATGACCCATTCGAAGTTAAGGGAGTTAGGTGTAATTCCAATCTGAGTTTACATTGAGAAAGAATGACGATCTCCAAAAGTTTCCAAAACAAAATGACAAATTTGACATCTGGAGGGGACTTGATAGTTGTGTTTGCAACATAGGTTGCAGCTTTACGAATAATGAGTATTTAATCACCATTTGTTAAACACCACTGGAGCGTGGATTCTAACAACAGCATTTCCAACAAAAGAACATAATCCAATGGATTAAGACGGGCGGGAGGGAAGAAAAGAAAAGAATAATAAATCTGAAACAGCTCTTCCACCAAATGCATAACTCTCTAAAATACCAATTACATATACTTACACTGCTTTTACTCAACAGGTCTAATAAGAGTAGACCCAAGAATAACGTATTACATAAGTAATGAAAAGGTGCAAAACCAGAGCCAATATGCAAGACCAGGACAGTGGAGCACTGGAAACATATTGGCAGAGGCAGAGTTTATTCTTCAGGTGCCCGATGATAGACTATGGTCTCAGCTGAGCTTGGATGGGCGTGATACTGCCCATAGCATGCATAAATAATTGTTGTAATAATGCTGAGAACAACAAACCTCCCCCATGCTTCATAGTGCAACTGGACAAATACAAAGAAAACATTAAAATGCTTATTCTTTTGGTTGATTTCTGGTAAGGTTCATAAAGACACGAAAGGATAAAGGAATGCAAATTTATAGCAATTCTACTTCATAAGGATACCTGAGCAAACAAGAAGATGTTGAAGAATATGCAAATACATGGTATAAAGGGCACCCAAGGACAAGAAAACCCTGAATCCGAAGGAAGCGCATAAGCCTAGAAAAGGGAACAAAAGAGGGTTAAAGGGTGGAGAATGACGACAAAGTCATAATCATGAGACATTTCTCATTTCAATTACACTAACATGCCTTCACAAATACATATATGCATATTCAGTAAGCTCTTCTAATTTCTTTCCTCTAACTACTCCTCAAATCCATAACAAAATAAAAATTCCAGAGCTCGCTAGTTAACACCATCAGTTCCAACATGGAGTATAAGATAGATAATAGCTCAAACAACTGCTAAGTATTATTAATTTACTTCTCCAACCGTAATGTCGAAATGCCCAACACCCTGCTTTTAAGTTGCAGTTTGTAAGATGGGTTTAATCATGTAAAAGAACAGAAATGTTTTGATACCCTTAATGATTAAACTCAGTAATGTACTCCTCCCTTTAACTCTTTATCATCATTGTTACCATTGATTTTTTTAATGTACTTTACAGTTTTATCTTCAAAAAAATTCATCATTGTTAATTCTTGAGTAAAAAAGGGAGATAAGATAAATTAACGGTAAAACAATAGTTATTATGATGTGCCTTGACTTCATCATCCTCTCAGCTATGTGAAAAGGCTAAAAAAACTCAGAACTTTGAAAAGTTGAAGCAGAATAGGGTTTGTGGTGCAAGGACAAAAGCACCATGATATGGTACTGTATATTCTAGACATCTTTCCCCCATACTTTTCATAAATATATTAGTTTCTATGCAAAAACATGTTCAGTCTTCTGAGATTTTATGTATTGGATTTAGAACTTAAGCATGAGTTATATAATTGGAAGTTGAAGTTTTTCTTTAAAGTGAATCCAAATTCAACCTGTCCCATTTGCCTGGGTCAAACTGACCAAACTATGTACTCTTATGCCCTTATTAATTTTTAATTCTTCATTGCTTGGAAGTTTCTTTTTCTCACATAACAGTAGTGTCATTTTGAAATCTGACCCCAATATGGTCATAAACTAATGGTCAAACTGGTGTTTGATGATAATTCTGGAGTAAATTTCAAAATCCAAGAAAGTCATTTTTTACTCCAATGCATGTCTCTATAGATGCACCTGTAAACAGCAAATTCATACACTTTTCCTACAGAAAACTCCCAAGTAGAAGTGTTTCAATGCCATGACAATAATGTGTAGTGTGGATTTATACTCACTTGGCGACAATAAAGAACTGTAGAAGCAAGAATTGCCGCAGCAACTGGAATAACCAGAAAGTATAATGGAACACCAAAACGGAATAGCAGTCCAGTAGCAAAGCCACAACAAGGAACTATGGTGAGGCAAATGACACCTTCCTGCCAGGTCGAAATACAAGAAAGTTGATTTGCTTTCTTATCCTTCCAGCGCAAAACTACAACACAAGCTGCAACGACCGAGTAACCTGTCTGAAATAAATTGAAGCATGGTGTGAGGTACATGTATCGCATTAGTCATTAAGTCAGGAATATACTTCTCCATTATTTCATTCCGACTGTACATTTTCCAGAATTGCTTACTTAACTATCATCAGATACACCTCTCAGAAATTACAAAAATGTCCAAGAATTCCACATTAAGTAGTCAAGAACTAGAGATCTATGTTATCATTGATTGTTTGGACTTGGTAATAGTTTCATATGCACACCAGAGAGCAATTGATTTAATAACTAAAACATAATGCAACGAAAACAAGGAAATGACATACCAATGAACCAACAGAAAGAATGTGTGAGAGAACATGCACGTTGAATAACCCTGCCAAGATACCAGCAACAGTGCCAACCCAGACTTGAGAATGAATAGGAGTATGACGAGTTGGATGTACTTTAGCAAAGATTGAAGGCAGTAAACCATCCCTTCCAAGCCCAAGATATAGTCGAGACTGTTTATGAGAAACATCTTACTGTATACTCTGGCGTAGAATGCAAGATGAAGGCAGAGAAGGACACCTTAAGTTCAATAGACTCACCTGAACATAGAGACCAACTAGAAGGGTTGTTGTAAGTCCAGCAACAGCACCTACACTGATTAAAACTGAAATGTATTTCAAACCCTTGGACGTAAATGCTTCAGCCAATGGAGCATCTTCATCAATTAAATGGTATGGTACCATCCCAGTGATCACTAAGCAGATGGCAATGTATAATGCAATACAAACGCAAAGGCTTCCAAGAATTCCTATTGGTAAATCCCTCTGAAAGGTAAAAGAACAGAGGAAATATTAAAAAAAACAGCATAGAATTATTTTAATAAAGATCATACTGTGTATGAAATAATTAACATTAATGGAAAAACTTGGGAATAGTGGATTTCATGTCAATAAGAATACCTTAGGTTTCTTTGATTCTTCAGCCGAATTAGCTACAGCATCAAATCCAACGTATGCAAAGAACACCACAGTAGCTGCACTCAATACTGGTTTGAAACCATTTGGAAGGAAAGGAGACCAATTTGAAACATCAACATTGAAAGCACCAGCGAAAATGACGATAATAACAATGATAATCTGCAAGGAATAGGAAGAATTAGGAAATTAACATCATTCTCCAAATACAGTTAAGTTGAAAGAAAAAAAACAAAGCACCTTTAATGAGGTCATGATGGCGTTCAAGACAGAGGATTCTCCAACTCCCCGGCATAGAATAAGTGTCAAAAGCAGTAGAAGAATTGGAGCTAATATATTGATGGACAAAACTCCTGCCAACTGTTCACCATTTCCAATCCAGCTTGGTATGTTGTCTTTAAAAATTGTAAAAAGCTCTAGAACTGCAACAATGTAGCCTGCTAAACTGCGCGCTATACTGGCAGCGCCGATATGATAGTCAAGCATCAGTTGCGAAAAAACAAGAAAAGCAGTGAGTTCATTGAAAGCTGCATATGTATAGAGATAGGCTCCCCCGACAACAGCAGGAAATCGAGAAGAAAGCTCAGCATAACAAAGCGCATTCAACACGCATGATGCTCCGGCAAGTATAAAACTGATCGTCACTCCTGCATTGAAGCAGCAACAAAAACCACCATTACAACTAATTCACCTTGATATGGTGTGCTCAGAACCAGTACAAAACGTATCATATTCTCCATGGCCAATAGCCAGGAACAGAGCTCTCTCTATTCAGTTAATTTTGCATGTAAGACTTTTTCTTTTTTCTTTTTCAATCCAGAGCAAGTAACTAACGGGAAATCATCCTGATATTACAAACGGAAAATTGAAATCCAGATTTAGGATGAAAAAGAAAAGAAGAGAGAGAGAGAGAGAGAGAGAGAGAGAGAGAGAACAGACCAGGTCCGGCGTCACGAGCGGCGGTGCCTGTGACGACGAAGATGCCGGCGCCGATAGAGGCGCCGATGCCGATGAGTATGAGTCGAGGATGGTAAGCCGGCGGACCAAACCGTCGCCTGAATTGGTTCTGGCGGAACAATTGGAGGATGAATGAAGCGGTTTGACCCTGCGAGCTGAAGTGCAGAAATGAGAAAACCATGAAGAAGAAGAAGAGTTAGCGGTGGCAGCTTCTTGGCCTTCCATTTCTCGAATCCAATAAGAATCTGGTAAAAAGAAGACCAGAATTATGGCCAAGAAGACAAAATTGATTGAATAAAAATGATTGCTACTCCCTAACAAAACTAGCCTTTTCCTGCATCTTCAGTCTCCAGCAACTGCAACTGGTATAGATAGATAATGAGAAAGGCAGAGGAAGAGATTAGTCCATGAATACTACGAACACATCTACTTCAAGATTATACGGTCAAATCTAATCAAAATCTTACACAGATTTGAAAACCAACAAATAGATCTTACCTTTGTTGACAAACACACCTGATTAGGATTCTCCATTCAGATCTTCTGAATTTCAGATTCTGTCTGTATCTTTTGCCAACAAATAATTATTCCATTCTGTCCCACTTCCTCGAATAAGAAAATTGAAAGAAGACCTTGTTTCTTTGTTTTTCTTTTTTCGAATATTTTGTAAAAATAAAATTCTGTTTGTCAAAAATTATTTTTATTTATATTTATGAATGAATATGAAAATAGAGTAGTTTTTATAATTTAATTAATAAATAAAATTTTGAAATCTGTTGTCTTCTTAAGAAAAAAAAAAAGAAGAAAACATTTATATCTTATTTAGTTAAAGATTAAATTATATCCAACGGTTTATATAAAATTATTTTCTACCAATTTACAAGATGAAACTTATAATAGTTTCTAAATTCCTTCATCTCCTCATTTATCTAACATATCTATTATATATATATAGGAGAAATTGTCTTGAAAAGAAGAACTACTTATGCTATATATTTGAGTATAGAGAAGAAAGATTTCCTTTTTTGTCTTGTCTATTTTCTGTTCTTATATAATTTTTTTTCTTCAAAAAAAAAAAAAAAAAAAAAAAACTCTTTCATTCTTTCGATGCCAAATAAGCAATATGAGTACGTCTCATGTCTTATTATTCGTAAGAAAAAAAAATCATTACATTTATGAATAAATCCGTAAGCTTAATATCATTACAAATGCTTCATCTATATTGTATCTTATCTTTCACAATAAGCATTGGTTACTAATAATTAAATTTGTCAAAATATCTAAAGTATTGATGGCTATGGTTTTTATTCACTTTTTAATAAAATTTATAATTTTAAAAAATAATATTCAATAATATAATCAATAAAGTTGACCAACTGATAACTAAAGTAGTAAATTTAATTGATTTAGTCATTATATTTTTTTGAATTAAAAAAAATTAAGAATTTAATTAATAATAGATTGTTTTTCAATAAATGAAAAAGATTAGTGAAATTTTTATACAAACACACATTCAAATTACATCCAACACCTATGTTAGGCAACGAATGGAGTAGTGTCACGTTGACTAACATTCTTACAATATTATACTTTTTTAGGACATTTGGTAAGGGTTGGACGTGATAATGTAATAACCAAAATACATTTTTTTTTAATAAATCATCTCATTTCAGAACCCAAATATAAATATAAATGAGAATGAAGAATACTTTCAATTAGTGTATAAAGCAACAAAGAACATCTTCAATACCGAAATGAAGCTTAACATTCCCATGAAAACAAAACTATAGCAAAATATAAACAAAAAAGAAGTCAAATGAATAACCAAAGTTAATACCCCAAAGTTTAAACTTTAACAACATATACGAGATCTTTAACATAAAAAAAACTAGTTAATGACTCGATGAAGTATAATATATACACATGTCTAAATTGTCTTTGCCAATTAAACAAGTAATCAAAGAAATTAAGGAAGTGCAACTTGTAAATGACGATGAGCTTGTCAATTTGTGTTTCTTTTTAGTTTTTGAATTGGTCTTTTAAGTTTTAGTTTTTTATTTTCTCTTAAAAGAATTTGCCATTGAAATAGAGGAAATAGAAGGAAGCTAGAGATAGAGAACTCAAGAAGGAAATGTTGAGAAAGAAGATGTTAGGAAAAAGAAGAAGAAATAAGAACAAAAGTGAAAAAAAAGGAAAAAACAAGGGAAAGGGTATTTTAGGTAAATATTACAACATTCATTTCAACAGTATTTATTTGTTCCATGTCTGTAAGGTGAATAATATTATCTATTATAGAATAAGTGACATCTTACCCTACCAAAAAACTAAACTCACAAATATCATATATGTTAGGATAATGAGCCTTATGCACCATCCATACTTCTTTCTATAGACTGAAATGACTTCACTTCAACTAAAATACGATGAAACTTTTCCATAACATGACAATGAATTCATTAAATTTGTGGAATTCAAACTTTATTATTATAATCATAAATTGTATCAGTCATGTAATATTTCAGTAAAATTTGTACTCAATCTTAGTTGAGCTGTATATGAATTTATCGGTGACGAATCTGGCTTTATTAGTTATTCAGAAATTATGTTAAATCTCTGCATTATTCCAAATATAGCTCCGTAGATACTCACTCATTGCAGTGATTATAAAAAATATGACAAAGTACAATTTAATACTATATAGTTTGGGATTTTTCAAGTTCAACAAATGTAGTTTATTTTTAATAGCTCAAGTATATAAGGTTTTAATATTTAATCCTATAACACCATTAGTTTAAACTTGTAGAAAGTCTATATTTTAAACAAATTTGATGTATGAATAACTTAATTTAGACTATCCAAAATTATAAACAAAAACTATAAAAGTTATATTAGTTTTAATACAAAGATCCTCAAAACTTCTTTAGTACGTATTTTTTGTAACTTTTTTTATTTTAAGCTTTATTTTATTTTTTTTAAATCTTTTTGAATTTTAGTTTATTTTGCAATAACATGAGATTTTAGGGCTTTAGTGTACGAATATAAGCTTTGAATCTTGTTTATGCTAATTATTGCTTCATTTGCTTTCTAAAGTATAGAGCTACAGTTACCTAAAAAGTAAAAAAATAAACCATGTTTGATATAAGAAATCGAGGTAGGATAATGTAGAAAAGTATTGGATGAAAACATACAGCTACAATGTCCTAATTAAACTCCTCACACTTAAACTCTTAGTTTTTCTTGAGCAAACACTAAATAAAAACAAAAGAAAAAAACTCAATATTAAAAGAAATACATTAGTAGAATGATAAAATCATTTAACTTCTATATGAAGGCAACAAAATGATAGTTTAACTCACCCCAAGGAACATAAGAGGCATTTTCACTTGTTAACAATTTCGTTCGAAAGATAAATCTCCCATACTCTAGATTTTATGCATGTGTGCTAAGCATCCACACTTAACTTATTATTTTCTTGAATAATTTTATGTAAAAGAATAATATTTACCTAAAATCTCAAATAATATGCTCAATTTTACTCTAGATGCTTCCTTTTCTTAATTCCTCTCAATATTATGTCTTTATAATCAATATGATTTTTTTTAAACTTATTACTTTTTAGCTCAAGTTAAAGGCATGAAAGATAGGTATATATGTCGCTCTTTTACCCATGAATAGATTATGAGCATTTATTGAAAAAATAAAGTGATTTATTGATTTTGATAAATGATATAAATTTATTTTTACATTAATGATGTCATTTGAATTTTTGGGTTAGTATGAAAGGTATGATCTAAGCAAGAGAAATAAATAGTGAAAGGTTACAAAAAGTACCAATAAGAGAGAAATAAATGGAGACCAAGAGTAAATCTATTTTAGATGTGTTTATCTTCTATATAATTAGGGAACTCATGGTTCAAAGCACAAGAAAATTTTCTTTAAAAATCTCTTTAAAAGTACAATTGATTTTAAGGTTAACATCTCACTATTTTTAAAGAGATTAACTTTGTGAAAAATTATTTCTTAAAATTCTTTTTGAAATGAGATTTATATGTTAGAGGAAATTTGAAGGCAAAAGATTTTATAAAAATATTATTTTGTGCATTAAGACATATGATTCGAAGAACCACTTTCATGTGCTCAAAAGATATCGCCTTAAGTGGTGTGTATAGCTTGAGAAATGATTCAAAAAATACTACTCTGAACACACTAGAAAGTTCACTTTTAAATTTGCATGTGATTAGTCTTATGTTTCTATTATATCTTAGTATTAATCACATTAGTTTTCAAGTCAAAATATCTTTTTGAACATTAAATATGTTTGAAAACAGGAGATTTTAGATTATTAGTCAAAAGTAATATGTGTTGTCAAAAAAATATTGTTCGTAAAAATTAGCTTTTAGAGTTAACTGTCTTTCTAAAATAACTATTAGTATTAAGAGATTTTTTAGAACATGTAACACAATTTTTTGCATATTTGAGCAAACTTTTGCAGCACATTTTTTAAGGTCAAATCAAATTCAAACTATCTCTAATGACTTTTTCGACCTTCTTGCATATAGATACATGCTTGAAACATATTTCAATGAAAGAACTTCGATCATTAATGTAACACCCAATTATTTTTATTATTTTTATTAATTCTATATAAATATAAATATGTATTAATTGAAT